AAACAGAAACCTGAGATGATAACTGACTATAACTTCAACAAAAGAGCTTACTCTTTTCTAAACGGCCGGCAATGCGCCTGCAATTCCCCTGGTGTTGCGGATGTTCATGGGCGGCGGTAGTCCCTTAACATCAGGTGAACCGTATGTTCGTTTGCCCCCTCTTCTATGAAAAAAAAACAGTACCTTCATTAGATGTGACTTTCATACTCGCGCCCTATTACCTCAAAAACGCTATTAGTATCCCATCATCAACGTCTCCGTACAAACGTACATTTTTCCTATTCAGCTGTACATTAGTAAAACTGCATATTCGACATATTAAATTTGTTTTTCCATTAAAAGTCTAGTTAAAACTCAATGCTAACTCCTTTTTTCTTCATATTTTCCGTTATATCTTTTATGCACATTGGCATTACACCAATGTGCATGCGGTCGCTAAGGAGTATGTTAGGGCTGAATCTGAGTGACAGGGTGAGAAACTGTGTGATAAAAGAAGAGTGTGGTTTGCAAGATGATGCAGTGACCATTTATTAGATTAAGAAAGGAATGCTTCGGTGGTTTGGTCATGTAGAAAGAATGAATGCGGAAAGACTGACAAAGCAAATATATGTTGCGGAAGTGAATAGAAGAGTCGGAAAGGGACGTCCTAGGCGGAATTTTGTCGACCAAATTGGCGATATACTAAAAATGGGTCATATTAAGAGTACCCTTAACCGACGAGCATGTATGCGTAAGTATATGGATGTGGAAGAGACGAGAGAGGTATGTCAGGATCGTGCCAAATGGAAGTCTGTATTCTCTGCCTACCCCTCTGGGTGACAGGCGTGAGTGTTTATGTTTATGTATATATGTATCTTTTGTACATTGCTCCTGGTGTTTATCCAGAACTGTCTGTATTTTTAGTTATGATTTAGTTCCCGCTGTTTTCTTTCTCTGTTAGTTACTACGGTTACTGCGTAGAAGTTGAAACAAAGCGCTTTGAAAACGATAAGGCCTATTGTTTAGTACAGTAGGCGGCCTTATCGTTTATGCTTTATGCATTATTTTATACTGGCTGATAGACTTATTTTTTTTTTACAAAACTGAAATGACTGTGGGTGATTAGTGATTACAGTAGAACTGAAGCTATGTGGCTACTGCAGTCCATCGATACCTGCAGTCAGCTTCAAAGAAGGCTACAGATGCGTTGTCACCTCTGAGTAGAGTTGCCAGACGGTCGGGATTCGTCTGAATTCTCTTGACATTTTAAAGGATCTCCTGTCTCTCGACAAAAATCAAATCTTCAGACATACAGCTTCTTTTCACATAGTAGCTATCTTTGATTTAATAAAATCTAAGTGAGTAATTAAATTTAACTTTGAAGTAATAATTATTTGAATTTTAAATATTTTCTGAATACTACTAAAGGATCAAAATTGGTGGACTCAGTAAAGCCCAATGCCAAATGCGTGTGTCAACCTAAAAATTAAATGTTGGACTTACATTAGTTATGTGCCAACAACAATGTTAAGTCTTTTTGTAGCCTATTAAAATAAAAAATGAACTTCTTTATATATTGTTATTTTCAATATTTATTTCTCCCGACAACAACCCCAAAATCCTGATGTTTTAAAATTTTGTCAAGATATTTTGAACTCTCTGTAACCCTCAAATGATAACTAGCCAGAAGGACTCCTGGGTAAAAAAGAGTCCCACATCCTAGTCGAAATTAAAGTACTAACGCATCACCTAATGTTATTGAATGTAATGTTTATGGGCTGTTCAATATCAAAGACTCGATAAATAAACACATCAACATAATCCAGGGATATTTTATATTTCATCAAATATCTAAAAATCAATAAAGAATTTTCTGATATTGTAAATGAAAGAATCATAGGTTATTTTCAGGTATTTAATAAAACCATTTCACAATTTTGTTGTGTTAAATAAGATTGTTATTTTTTATAATCGTCGTAGAAAATTAGTATGATAAAATAATTTTTTTTCTTATAAAACGATTATTTTTCATTAAAATTAAAAAAAAAACATCCTATAAAATCTAATTATTAATAATCAGTGTTGCCACCTCTTACAATAATTACACAACGCCATCGATTGTTCATACTTAAAATTAAATTGTCAATGTGTTACTGCGGTATGCAGTCTCATGTTATGTGTTCGTAAAGTTGTTGTTTCGTCGTTGAATTTGGCGGGAAATCTCTCAAAGATTTTCTTTGTAACATGTTCCAGGCATGATCAATAGTCGAGTGACTGTGCAGGCCATTCCAAAACTTGAATATCGTGGTCTTGGAGAGCGGCCGACACCAGCCGCTCCGTACCGGAAGGAGCATTATCTTGCATGAGTTGAGATTCCTGGCCAATTTGGATTCTGTGTGGGACAATAACAAGCTCTACTACCTCCTCGTGGTATATTTATGCAGCATTGGATCCAAACGAGCTGAGTTTGTCCGCCAAGACGAATTCCTGCCCACACCATGAGTCCCGCCTTGGTATAAGTGGACCTCCGTAGGGTGCCGTAGACGGCTAACTCTCCCTAGAGTTCTTCAAATGCGTTTTCCTCGGGTATCCGGATGAAACCCAAGCCGGGATTCATCGGTGAACAGCACCAAAGACCATTGTTTGTTACACCATGATGAATGCTCTCGAGCTCACGAAAGCCGCCGACCGCGATTGCCACGTCGCAATGCTGGAACATGTAGCGGTCTTCGAGGATGAAGATAAACTTCGTGCAAACTCCTTTGCACGGTTTAGTCGCTTACCAGCCTTCCTTGGTCCTTCTAGAGCCTTTTTAGTAGTTGCATCGCTGTGATATTTGGTTATCGTTGTATTGTTTGTTGGAGAAATCGATCCTGTCCCTGCGTAGTAACACGATATCTGCTCGTGTGCCGTTCAGCCACATCCCCAATACTGCGATAACTTGATCAAAACCTTGATATCACGTTTTGGCTGGTGTGTAGGGCCTCAGCAACGACACGTTGAATACCACCATTTTCTAACACGCCCACGGCTCGTAACATTTCATCTCGACTCAAATGACGACGTGACATGACTCTTAAAGCTCACACAATAACTTAAATTAAAAAAGAAAAACAATTTAATGCCTTTTCATTAATTAATATCAGTAGAAAATTTTTAATTTTCCTTAACGTAACGAATTACTAACAATATTGCCGCCGTATTTTGTTTTTCGTTGTTTTTATTTTAATTTACATTTTAAAATTTTGAAAATAGAATTAAAGAAGTTTCAATCTTCATATAAACTTTTTACGGAAACTAAAAATGATTTTTTAAACTATAAGGCCGTAAATAATTTAGAATTTAGGTATCCCTAGATTCTGTTGATGTGTTTATATGCAATAGATCCCGGTATAATGTTTTGTATGTTATACGAATATTGCTTTTAATTGAGATTTGATTTGATATCACGCTTCAGAAGATATCTTCAGTTAAGTACATGCTTTTGATGACCAAATTATACGCTGTCACAGATGCGTTGTTAGCACTAAAAGCTAAGCTTGAATGCTTCACAGCTTTTTATTATACCGTTTTTCTTAATGATTCTGACAGAAAAACAGCGAAGCATGAATTGCTGCTTTGTTTCAGAGATAGCGTCACGCCTTCAATTTCTTATGGGAGCTAGCTGGGTCACGTTTGCCAAAAAAGATGGTTTTAGATAAAAAATTGAGGAAGAAGTGGTAGGCTAGGTCATCGTCTACACAATCACAAACACATCTTTATAGGGACTCTAGTCTTGTGTTAGGATCAACGGGGTCTACTCGGACTGGAAAGTTATGGTTTTTGAAAGAGAAGAAAGTAAAACGATATGTGAAATAAGAATGGAAGGGGAGTTGATTGAACAAGTAGATGAGTTTGTGTATTTGGGTTGCGTATTTAGTAAGGATGGGAGATATGATAAGATAATTGATAGAATCCGGCGTTACTTTGCGGAAATCCATTATAATAAAAAATTAAAAATATAAATTACCTTGCAACCTTCCGCTAAATAAATACATACAATGATGTGTCTTACCTGGATTGAAGAGCACCTCCCGCCCTCCCTCAATTGCATGCACTAATCCGTCACCACTAGTCCCAGCACCACTACTCCCAACACCACTATTCCAGGTAAGACACACCATCGACGATAATACGACACATGTTTCGCCTCTACACGAGGCATCCTCAGGTAATGTTTGGTAACATTTTGGTACTTTACTCATGTGGTTTGGCAAGATAAGTTGTGAAATGAATTTTAGAATTTTTTGTACACTTGATGATTTTATCGGTCAAGATTACTTAATCGACCTAAAAATAGCATTAAGCCTTAATGTCGTACAAAATAAGGGCTACGTTTGAATATTTACTGTTACAGGCTATCAATGTCCACTGATGAATATAGGCCTCACCCTTAGATTGTCTCATATGGCAACTATGGCAAATATCCTCTGTATTTGCCATAATTGCCACGGTTGGCAAGCGGGTGTGCAACCGCAGTTTATTTTTGTTTTTAGTCGTTATCAGTAAGATGTCACTGATCATCTGCTGATTGGTTTCTCTCCGTCGCGTCTTACGATACCCACGGGACGATATGGGGTAGTGGATATTTTTACACCGCCAGTATACGGTAAATATTAAAACGATGTTTTAATATTCATTACCAGTTATAACCAGTTAACCTCCAAATGTAAGCTTTGATTTATTTACTTAATATCCACAGGTACTTATGTCGTGCATTGACTGATAATAATCAGAATAAAAATGAACCCCGCCTTTACTTTAAGGTCACAGCATAGTTTACATTAATAAGTATTAAATAATACAAAACAAACACAAATACAAACAGATGTTGAAATTGCCATCTCAACATTTTAAATAAATATTTGAACATTAACCTAATAACGCCAATGATTTACGCAATCCGAACAATCTACTTATCCAACAACAGACGTTCTAATATTACGTTTAAGATAAACTAGAATAATATGTAAAGTACTTACTGATTTTGTAATAACAATTTTCACACAATAAGTTTGTTTTGTAAAGCAATGAAGGTCAGATCACAAAAGTTGTTTGTAAACAAAGAGGATGATATGTTCGCGTGGGTTGCACAAGCGGCTTGAAACCGAACAACACTACGTGATCCGTACCACGCTCGCGGTCCTACTGATTGTGAGATTGTGGCGCTCTGTGCATATCTAATTTTAACTTAAACTGGTTATAAATAATGAACGGTTCAGAGACATTTACTGATAAAGGCGCATCTTTTAGTAGAATGCACGGAAAGTGAGATTTAGGATGGATCTTAAATATTTTGTGAACATACGACACCATATGACTATATATATATATATATATATATATATGACTATATGGATTTTATATAAGACGCATATTATGTAGTTTTATTAAAATTGATGAGCGATTTCTTGTCAATGTTATTTTTAAGTTTAAATATTATATATTACGGTGCGATATAATTTTAAATTTTATATAATAAGCGTTTTTACGTAGTAGAGCCATTATCATCATCATCATTACAGCCCTTCACAAGTCCACTGCTGAACATAGGCCTCCCCCAAGGTACGCCACAAAGCACGGTCCCGAGCCACCTGCATCCATCGACTTCCTGGATGTCTTACCAGGTCGTCACTCCATCTAGTGGGGAGTCGCCCTACACTTCGCATACCGATACGAGGCTGCCACTCGAGAACCCTTCTTCCCCAACGGTTGTCAGTTCTTCGAGCTATATGGCCGGCCCATTGCCACTTCAGCTTACTAATCCCTTGGGCTATGTCGGTCACTCTGGTTCTACTGCGGATATCCTTATTTCTAAGTTTATCACGCAGAAAAACTCCGAGCATAGCCCTCTCCATAGCTCGCTGAGCGACTTTGAGCGTCCTCATACGGCCAGCAGTGAAGGACCACGTCTCGGTTCCGTAGGTCATTTCCAGTAGAGCCATGCTGCAGCTAAATTACGGTTCTAGCATGAATGAGTCGGCTCGACCGGGGAAAACCACGCTCTCAGAGAATATCGACGTATAACAGAAGCTCAATGATGCTGTGTTTCGTATCTTTTTAATAGAATTAAGGCGATCCACCTTAACCAGCCAGTGGTGCATTTTGATTCTCAATCGAGGATAGATGTAGATGTCTATGGACCAAAGCATACTGACTAGACTAGACTGTGTGCTCGTTGACATACATATTCCATAAAATTCTATTTTGGTTTTACTGTTTATTTGTACACGCCGTTATACCGGTATCACTCTCACTGACATATCACTCTCCATATTTATATTGCCTTAATGCAGTGCCTTAATAAAACAGTAACGGCAATTGTAAAAATGCTGATAGTATATACTCTGTCCGTTACAAACTTATGTTATTGGGATAGATATAATTAATATGCATTTGTATACATACATGAAAAATATAATAAATATGACGTGTAACAGTTGTGTTTGACCCAAAAGTAAGTATATCCTATCCTACTTCATATTAGTATTATAAGTGAAAGTTTGTGTAGATATTTGTATATTTGTAGCATAGTAAATTTAGCTTATAGTTATGTAGTTTACGACGATAGTACATCAGTATAAGTGGCGAACAAAGTAAGCACACGTGCTGTTACTTTAGCAGTTTGTTACACACACTAAGTTTAACATGAAAAACGGTGCATTACAAATAATTCGCGGCGCGGCGGTTTGAGCCTAGTCAGCATAAAATAATATATGACTTTTGGCCCTTCATACAGTCTAAACCAATAAAATGTAACTTCTTGACGTACGGCGCGCTAACTATAATAGAAAGAACTATAAAATGTGCTAGCAAATTAGAATTTTTGCCAATATTATATTGGTCGCGATAACTTCTTTGTTTACAAAAACAAAAAAAAATTGCGAGTAATTTGGACACACTATACGATACTATTATGAGTTATATTCGATATGATAAATCTCTTAATCATATCGAGTATAAGTTGATATTTGATCTTTATATTACAGAAATTAGACATTTCGTTTGGACAACAACATAAAATGAAATTACGTCACGCAAGAATATCGCAGCAACCCTTGTATAATGAAACTTGTACCTAGATGGTTCTATATAGTTTACAAATCGCACATAACAGTTTATTAAAATTAATGTAAATGGTAAAAGCTTAGGCCACATAGAGGCGGTCTGATCAACGTTTCGGGAGCTGGAATTTTTGCAATTAATCACAGAGATCTGCCGGACGGCTGTTATGTGGTACCGGGCGAATACTATGACAAACAGGCGGACATGTGGGTTCCATATTATTTTACTAACTTGCCAGGCAGACGTTGTTCTGCCCTTTTCGAAGACCCTTTGTCGTGTCCTATTAAAAATCCTTAAATTCTCAAAAAAATTATGGGTCACTCATGGGCAAAAGAACTATCCTATCTCTCAAGTTGGACCAAACTGCACACGGTGTGCAAATTTGATTAAAATTGGTTAAGTAGTTTAGGAGTCCATCGCGGACAAACAACGTGACACGTAATTTATACATATTAAGATAATCAAAGCAACTGATCTCAGTGCGAAAGCGATGCAACGTCCGGACCGGGCATTCATAATATATTTTCAATTATTATCAATATGAAAATTAAGAAAAGATAATTAATTTTATTCGTATATGAAAAATTTGATTATTAAAAACAAGCTATTTTAAATAATAGGTCAGTGTGATCATATTAAGTCTTTAATTTACACGCCTAAAAGATACACCCCTACTATAGATTTACAACTGTACTTACAGGTAATGAGACTCCAATTTTTTATAGGATAGGGTGACAAACGAGCACACAGCCCATCTGATGGTAAGTGGTTGCTGCGGCCTATAGATATCTACATCTATCCTCGATTGCAAATCAAAATGCAGATGCGTTGTCACCCGTGAGGACTAAGATGAAATACCTCGTTTCCAGTAAAAGGGTCTCCGGTTCTCTACACTCACCATACGAAACACAGCAGCATTAAGCTACTATTTTACGCTGGTATTTTGTGAGAGCGTGGTCCTTCCCTGGTCGAGCCGACCCATTCGTGCTACAACTATACTATTAATATAACTGCAGTATGGCTCTACCACGTAGAAATTAATATTTTTTAATTTAATATTTTTAATTGCAAAATAGAGCAAATTCAACTCCGATCGAAAAAAAGCAACTGCGGTTTCTACCCATATCAAAATGAATAAAAGAAGGGTCTTGGTGAAAGGACTTAGCAATGACGGATTTCGTATTCTATAAACAGTACTCTTTTCGTATATTTCGTATACTCAATTATGTTTGAGTTCTTCATTTGCCATAATCCTTTTAATAGCAGAAATTATTCATCACTGTCCGACAACGACACGGTGAAAACTGAAAATGCTTGATCCTGCAATCTATATGGAAAACAAAATGCGGCTACTTTTGCTGTCAAGCCGGTCGCTTTGGCGCCGCTGACTGCGAGCAGGACTGTTGCGTAGCATCGCTATACCCGCTACACAATCTCTAAGTGGTTTATGGTTCGATTCAGTTAAAGAACCGTTGAGGTTCGGTGAGATTTCCTTTTCAAAAATAAATTTCCGAATAAATCGAAATTACTTTGGAGTACCTTGGAGAGTAGAAATTACCTGCTTTGACTATAAAAGCAGCAACTCGATGATTTGCAATTGCATATGCACTGCATTGCATAAAAGGCCAAATTTTTAACCAAAGAGGTCACGGAGATAAACTTTGTCCCTTCACGCATTTCTATGATACTAAACAATCTACCATTTAATTTTAAGCGATTACAATATAATAATAAAAATTATATCTCTCTCTACAAAATTACAGTTTAAATATCAATACATCCAAATAATAAGTAACTTAAGCTGACTAACTACTAAAATAACTTAACAACTTAGGTTTCCCTGTGCTAACACCACCAGGCCCGCACCACCGGATAAAGAATCACACGGAATTTATATACTGATAAGGAATGTATTTTAAAAGAAATATATACTTTTAAAATAAATATATATATATATATATATATATATATATATATATATATATATATATATATATATATTTAAAAGACGTTGTTTCGATAAGAGCATCACTTTCATAATAGTCTTTAGTCATTAACCATGTTCTTAAAGTATATTTATAGTTTGCTCTTAATAAAGAGTATATAGCCAGTATACGGCTTACCTGGTTATATAGAAACGGGCCAATAAAACTTTTTTATGGACATAACGTCTTTTCTCCTTAAAAGTTGTTTCGCACAAAGGTTTAGAATGTTGTTTTAAGACAGTGCACAATATTTATAGTTGACGAACTGTTAGAACATTTTATTCCTTGTATATATCCCTGGTCGGATAAAGGAAATGATGAAACTTTGCAACCCTTAGGATTGCTCTTTGGGCCACCTCCAGAGACATTACATAAGTAGGATTTAGCTGAGAGAGACATTACGTATAACAATTGTTACAAAGGAGATAATCATTTTTGGGCTCACTAGAAAATTTAACGTAATTAATGGTTTTAACACATAAATAACATAACAATTTACTATAGTAAATTGCTTGAAGATTTCATGAAAATCTAACCGGAATCATGAAATCTTAAAAAAAAGGGTTTTTTTCATATTCGTGTTCTGGTTCATGTATTATAAAAATACTTGTAAAGAAACGTTTATACAAATATATGTATTTGTATATTATATATTTATTACTAAAATGAGATACCTCTGAAAATTTTGTGTTTATTATAACTATAACTGTTATTTTGATTATATTTCTAAAAGTATTAACTAATATCATTGTGCCGGACGGGCGAAACTCTCCGGAGTAAATGTTGTCGAAGATACTTCGCGAGTCGCTCACGTCCTACACCTATAGGTTCCGGTGGGTACTTTCACTGCCGTCTTTGTGGTTACCGCTGAAATATTGTGGACTGAGGTTCAAATCAAAATGCACGATTAATAAATACAAATAGCAAGGTAGTGGCCAGCGGTTCGACT